ATTGGCAACAGACATTAGCTCAAGTGCCAATCTTTGAAAAGAATCCTTTTAAAATTTAAATTTACAAATAATTATGAGGTTTTCACTTGCATCTCCTGCCCAAGCTGCTTTTTCTAAAGCAGTAACTGCTTCTCAAATTTGAGTGTGCATCAGAGCCACTTGGGGGGCTTATTAAAACACACATAGCTGGTCCCAGGCCCAGAGTTTCTGAGACAGTAGGTGTGAGGTGGAGCCAGAGAATTTGCATTTCTGAGTTCTCAGGTGATACCAATACTCCTGTCTGCAGCCCACACTTTGAAAAGTATCGTTTTAAGTCCTCTGTTAAGCAAAGGCATTATTCTGATTTCACTCGCACAGACATAGAACGATTACATTCATTTACACAGCACATATAAAGAGTGACCGCCCCCTACAAACCTGGACTTGTTTTCTACACATATTGTTTATCAACAAGGGAATACCACTTTTTTCCCCATGCAGAATGGAAAAGTCTTAAGATTGGTAACACCCAGTGTTGCAGAGAATATGAAGAAACAAGTGCTCTAATACCCTGTTGGTGAGTTTAGGAATGGCTACACTGTTTTTGGACAGCAATTTAACAGTTACTACCAGTATTTTTAAAAGCATACATCCAGAAATTAATCCAGAAATTTCCTTCTAGGAACTCCATGGAAAAATATATATGATATTCACAGCAACATTTGTGAGCTGGAAATGAGAAATATTAAAATATGTATCAAGAGGCATAAAAGTAAAAGGTATTGCCTGAACAACTATTCTTATATGCATATTTCTACAATTTAACCACTGTATGTTTTCTACAGTATGTTCTGTAGCAGAAAAAAAGATATTCTACAGCAGAATATCATTTGTGGACATTCTAGTGGGCTACTCAAATGCTGAAATCCAAATGGAAAGACGAAAATCTGTTAACATTCTAGCAAGCTACTTATGTACACTTTATGAAATTGATTATTTTAATGATTATTTTCCTTCACTCCTTAGAGATTTCATAAAGCTTTACCAAACTCCCCAAGACTTGCTCATCTAGGAGTAAATGAGAGGGAAATTGGCTTTGAGCCTAAGCTCATGGTTTCCCCAATGAATTTCACATACCTTTCATATTCTCAAATACACATTTTAAAAACTTTTAATTTTGAAAAATTTAGACTCACAAGGAGTTGCAAACAAACTATGGAGAAGCCCTGGGTACGTGTCACCCAGCTGCTCCAATGACATCTTACATAACTAATGCATTATCAATCAATTCAGGAAATCCCATGTACACTTTTAATGGCAACACTGATTTAGCTAAAGCTCTAATGAGAGCTTTAATTAAAAGTTATTAGAACTAAACATCTGGAAAAATGTGAAAAGGGCAAGAGGATGAACACCTCAAAGAAATGTTATGGCATGAAAAGAAGATGCCTGTCCTGGAGACAGAAAATGCACACTCTCCTTGTGGTATTGCCACTAATTCCATATATATAAAAATACACACATATTAGATCGTGAGTGAGTTATTTCATCTTTGGGCCTCAGATTTATCATTTGTAAAATGAGAGTGAGGAACTAAGCCACTAAGGTCTTTTCCAATGGCACAATTCTGAGTCACAAGTAGATGGTATTTTATTATCAGAAGAAGATTTTCTGATCACCTTTAAAATCTCAGTGTCAAGGGATTGTGTACCAGTACAACCTTCTTAGAAAGCAGTGTGGCAAAAGCAACCAGAATTTAAAATGTGCACTTTTTGCCCCAGCAATTCCACATCTATAAATTTAAAGAATCACTAAGTAGACAATGATACATTTTCAAGGATCTTACAGCAACATTTTTGTAATTGTGAAAAATAAGATACTAGTTATGTTCATGCAATACTATGCAATTACTTGTTTCTTTTTGCGATCGTAAAAGGCATCTTTTCAAATATATCTTCTAACAGTTTGCGTTTGTATATATATGAAGTCTTTTATTCTTTTTACTAAACATTTTTATTGAACTATAATTAATATATACAGAAAAGTGCACAAATCATAGGTGTACAGCTTGATAAATATTCATAAAGTAACCAGCACCTAGATCATGAAACAGAACATTACCAGCACCATAGAAGCCATCTTGTACTCTTCTAGTCCTTATTGAGATAAAGCCAGTTGAAAAATAATGTATATGATTCCACTTACATAAAGTTCAAAAACAGACAATACTAATTAATGGTGATTTGTCATGATAGTGCTTACCTTTGGGGAAGGAGGTAGTGACTGCAAGGGGACACTGATTTCTGACACCATAGATAAGTTTTGCCTGTTTTGAACTCCATCTAAATTGAATCAGAGTATGCACTCTTTTGCGTCTGGTGAAGGCTACTGATATGTGTATGTTAATTGTATATAATTACTACTTTACTGCGTCTGGTGAAGGCTACTGATATGTGTATGTTAATTGTATATAATTACTACTTTACTAAGTTCTCTTACAGTTTTTCAACAAATTTCTTTGGGTTTCCAAATATATATAAAATCATATCTGAAATAGCTTTTTATAATTTATTTAAAAATTCTTCTTTCCAACTCATGTCTTTTTTTTTTGTCAAACTTCCATTGGCTAAAACCCTCAACACAATGTTGAGTAGTACAGGAGATAGTGGGCCTTGTTCCTGACTTTAGTTGGAAAGCCTCATTTGTTCTGACATTAAGATGCTGGCTTTTGAGCAGAGGTACAATGTCAATGAATTACTCATCAATTTCTATTTAGTGAGTAGACAACATGAATGAGTGCTCCATTCTGTCAAATGCCTTTTCTGCAAAGATGGACATAATCGTGATTTTTCTCCCTCTTTGACTATGACTATTAATGAGTTGTCTAATATTGCATTATCTGTGCATGCCTATAATAAACCCAACTTAGTCATGATTTAGTAGTTTTTGAAAGTGCTGTTGGATTGTTTGCTAATATAGTTAAAATTTTTTCCACTGATATTCGTGAGAATTTTCTCTTTGGTACACAATCTTTGTCAGATTTTGGAAACAATGCTATTATATTCACTTACAAAATGAATTTTGGAAGGCTTTTTTGTTTGGCACTTTGAGGTTCAAGATTCTTTTTCTAGCCTCTGGGATTGTTCAACAACATTAGGATTATTTAATCTTGAAGGTTTGGTAGAAATCCCCTTGACACAATCTAAGCCTGATGCTTTTTTTGTAAGGAGCCCTTTATTTTTTTTTCTATGGTAATTGGTTTGTTTTGAATTTCTGTCAACTAGGATAAATTTTGGCAATTTGCTCTTTTCTAAAAAAAGTTATTTTTCTAATTTATTAAAAAAGTAGTCTTATCATTTTGAAAATTTTGCTGTTTTGTGGTTATTTCTTCCTTGTCATTTAAACTTTCATTTCCTCCCCTTTTTTCTTGACTAGGTTAGTTGGTGGTGTGTCTATCTTTTTCTCCCTCTCCCCACCTTTTTACTAATTCCTTCCTTCTGCTTTCTCTTGGTTTGCTTTTTCCTAGAGTTTTTAAAACTTGGTGATTTAATTTTTAGCTTTTGCCATTTTTATTGATAGTTCTAAATTCTATAAATCTCCTGTCATAACTGCTTTTTTTTAAGGATTAGGTTTTCCTCAGTCTTGTGGTCATGTGTTTCTGGTGCTTTCACTGTGGGGATGTTGGTCTGCTTATTCTTTTCTTTCCTATAACTTTGAATGGGATTTGACTGTAACCCTTCTCAGTTGTTTTGGTGAAATGAGTTTTCCTGTACTTCTGGAGGGAGCGGTGTTCTAGGATGACTTTTCTTAGCTCCACAACCCTAAAGCTCCCTTTTCATTTTCAAAAAGTAATTTAAAAGTTATATATGTCTATATATAATATCTATGCATACTGGCCTTCCTTGCCAACATTTATCTGGAATTTCACTTCTCTTTGTCCTATTGTACCTGTCCTGTCCGATTTGGATCTTAATTCTAGCAGTTTCTTCCCAGTGCTAGGCAGTGAGACATCATTACTTTTAAGATGTATACAGGACAGGGCCCAGACTGTTCTAGTAGAATCATCAGACCTTATTATATTGCTATTACACCTACCTGCAAATGGGAGCCTGTGGAACCCCTTCCAGTTTCAGCTTCTGCTCTCAGATTGGCCCACTGCAGTGAGCAATGTGGGCAATGTTATAGTTCTCCTATTCTCAAGACTGTCAGAATTCAGCTGCCTGCCTCCCACTTCCTCCCATACAGACGCTGAAACTCACTTATTTGTATTTTGAGGTTCATGGGGACACCACGTCATCTAGTTTTGTAGGATAGGGTCTGTGGCTATCTTAGTTACTCTCATTCTCATGGGGAGATTCAAAACTACACTGCTGCCGTTATCTTCCCCAAGTTTAAACTGTGTGAGATCTCCATTACAGAAAAGAGATTTTAATAACAATAATTTTATGATGGTTATGACAAATTATAATCAGGAATTTACTGTGTTTCAGGTACTATGCTAAGTCCTTTATATGCATTATCTCATTTAATCCTCAAATAACCTCACTAGTTAGGTTTTTTCGCTGTCGTTTTATCAGTGAGGAAGTTAGGATCAAAGGTCACAATGCTGGACTGGCAGATCTGGGATTCAAACCCAAGTCATTTGAATCCACAGCACCTTCTTACTTGAATTGACTCTCAAATGTTATCAGGCCCAACAGTTTTCAAACTATGTACCACTGTCAGCAAAACTTCTATTTGAAGTTAAACTAAAGATTTATAAATAACTATTTAAAGATCTAATAAAAACATATACATATTAGAGGTCAATTCTAAAAACACTGTAAATGATAAATAGTTGAATTATGTTGTATGACCTGATTAACCTTGTTTTCATGCATATGCTCAAAACGAAGCTTCTCCTACTATCTTCTAAAGAATACCATACTGGAGGTGGGGGTAGAGCATAGGAAAGAGAGTTGAGGTTTTGAACTTCATATTTTCCTTCTCATTATATCACCACTGCTAAAGAACAAAGTATATATGTGAAATATTGCTTATAATTAACTTTATTAATAAATACTTTTCTTGTAAATAACTATTCAGAAAAAGAAAGTTTCTCCACAGTTCACACTGGCCTGGTATTTTTTGGTCAATATGTTGCTGTGGAATGTGAACATTCACTGGTCCATAGAGTTTCACAAGGCCTCTCACAAGTATATCAATTAGAATCATACTGTAATTTATAATCTTACGTCACTAAATTATACAAGGAGTTAGAAAATACTTATTAGTAGTTTTATGAAATACTTTTACCTTGGAATTCTCTTTCATTTACGTTACTATTACTAACTATCTTACCTTCCAACCACTAATGGTGATTCAGGAAAAACAATCTGGGCTTTTTACATAGTTTTAAAGCCATTACATAAATGCTATTTTAACTCCCAGTGTCTAAGAGATGACTTAGTTTGAGATATGGATGTCTTAATTTGCCAAGATTCAAATAGAAGCAACTAGAATAACTCACAGAAGGATAACATCTGTTGTTAAGCTTATTTTTTCCCCACCATCAGAAAATCAATTTTATTTCTAATTAAAAAAAAAAGTTTACTTTGCCAAACTGAGGTTTAAAACTAAGCATGCCAATAATAAATGAATCATTTCTCCAAATATATACTAGGTTTCCCTTGGGAAGGGCCATTATTTAAGGGTCTTTTCCTCTCCAGTTTAGGAAAGAAATTAAAATAAAAATTTAAATATTCCAATATCTAAACAGTGATACTAGTAATTTAGTTTTTATACTGATGCTTGTAGAACTAATAATTCAACATTTATGATCACCAAGACTTTAACTTAAACCCAGCTCCTTTAGTGAAGATTTCAGTATGAGTCTCACATATTTGAATGTTATCAAGCAACTGTGATGGATATAATTTATTGATAAATTGATTACTAATAAAGATGAATTTTTATACTAACTCCTTTACAATTAGCTAGTTCACAGAATGAAGAAAAAAACCCAAAAAGAAAAGCAAAACTCCACTCCTTAACCCCTAAATGGTACATTTCCCTCCCACTTACCTGAAAATATAAAAATATAAATGACCATGGATGGAGCTACACCATTAAATTTACTTGAGTGTTCTTTTTTTACTTATTTAATTTGAAAAAATTAGAAAATTATCAGTTTGAAATTATAGCTGCTAACAAACTGGGGGCAACAAACTAAAAAAAATCCAAATGGCTAAAAATAACTCAGTTATAAAAGTACAAGTATAATTTACAATATCACATATCTCAAATAAACAAACCACTAAAAGTCTTTCCTTCTAGATAAGACTGTTTTCTCCCCAGAAAGAAAAAAAAGCAACTAGTGATTTGAGATTAAAATCAAACATAATTGCTCTTCACCAGCAACATCTAAATAAATGACCGGCACAGCACAAAATTTTCCCATTCACAATCACATACAGTTAAATTCCTTTTCCCTCAGTTACATAATAATCTTCTTAAAACAATTTCCCTTTATAAAATTATTGTATTAGTTAAGCCTATTCATTCTCGCTATGAAGTTAATTTCATTTATATAGGCCACACAAGTTTAATTGGCACACTGAAGAATAAGACAAAATAAGTCCTTCTTTTTAAAAACTATGGGATCATGTTTTCAAAGAATAATCCCAGATACTTAATTCCTTAAAGCAAATTTCTACCATCAGCAATCAAGCTTTTAAAATGATCACTGAGTTTTCACCCAAAGATTATCAATGCTATGTGAACTGTAAACTTATTTGGAAGGTTTTTGTCCCTTTTGTAATGATACAATTTGTACTGAAGAGTTTTTTAAAAAGATAACCTACATACAGTTAATATGACTCAAAGAACTTCTTAGAAATACAGTATAAACATTTAAGAACCACAACAGAGTCCACTGTGGTTCAAACTTCAACAAAGATTTTCTTGAAACCCAGTACAAAGGTTACTGGCTCAAGACCATATCCCAAAGTGACATCAGCACAAGATTTGATTGTAAGACTCTACCTCTTAAAAAAAGAGCACACTTGGTTATACATGGCTTTTAACCTTGAGCTACAGTTATGCTACAAATCCCCCACCCTCCCAACCTAAAGACAGTCATGTGGAGATGTGGACATTCTCTGAGCATTGTTTAGAGTCCTTGGTTTTCCAGCTCTGATGGAGATCTCGAAGGCGTTCAGAAGTCCGTGTGCTTACATTCAGGGCAGGATGAACTTTACAAATTCCACTTTCCTCCATTAGTGACAGGCCACAGATCCCAAAGTACGCATGCAAAGCATCTGAAAATGAGGCATTTTTATCATAATAGGCATACTTATTTGTACCTGCTTCAAAATACTTTAGCTACATACCTATCAGCCCATCACTACATTAAAAATAAATTTAGAAAAATACTATAGTTTTTGAAATACTTGCTCTCTCAAAGTCTCAAACATCAATTTTTTAAAAACCAGATGATCAAAATTAGATGATATTTTATTCAAGAAAATATCATTAACAAAGAAAAACAAAAGTTCCTAGCTGAAGCCGTGACATTCCCAACATCCTGTGTGATTAAAGGACAAAAAGGAAGATTAGCAGTAATATGTAAGACTTCTCACTCTAGCGAGTTCCCCTTTTGCTTACTACAGAATATGTAAACAAGGGCCTTTAACTCTATACCATAAAAGGAAAATTTTTTCTTAAACAAATCTCTTAATCAAGGTAGCAATACCACCTACTCCTCTCAAGTTTTACCTCTGACAGTTCTTAAACCATATACATATTGTTAAATGAAAGAAGTTTAAGCAAAATAATCCATTCTGGAATGCTGTACAATATTTAATTTTTCTATTTAGGGTAATGTCAGCCATTCTAAAAATATCTGACCTCAGGATAAAAACAAACTCACATTCTGTTTGGTTATAATAACGTGAGTGTTCACACCATAACAACTCTTCTACACTGGTCTCACTACCGTTTCCCATCTTTCAAGGGGCAGCAACCCTCTTCTATTTAAGTGGCCACTGAAATCACAAGGCTGTTGCCTGCCCAGAGCCTTATATGGGCTTCTGAAGAGCTCAGAGCCCTGCAGTTATGGGAACACTACAAAAAAACAGAGTTTGTAGCAGTCACTCTTTTTTCTATTTTTGAATAGGTCATTATTTATGACCTCAAGAGCTATTAAAGTTCAAAACATGTTACCAAATAAGACTTTGTGAAAAGAACTAAAGAAAAAGTTTTACTTACATGAGTATCATTTACTTTTCAAAACAGGAATGACAAAGAGTTATGCTTACTTAATGCTATTTGTGAAAAAGTTATTTTACTAATGAAGGCCCATGTCAGTCTCCTTTTATGTCTATTCAGAGAATGCTTTGATTTCTTCTGGGTCATTCTCTGATTTTCAGAGCACAAAAAATAAATTTGATTTCCCCTGTACTATTACATTTTCCCTGCAGTTATTCTAAAATTACAAAGGGCACAAAGCAATATTAAATAATATTAAATAAAGAAATGAGGAAACTTGTCCAGGAAAAAATGCAAAAGAAAGAGAAATAAAGTACATCCAGAATAACATAAAATAGGATTGTACACTTTTCAGATAATGTAAAAATAAAACATTTTTTTCTCAAAAGGATTTTTGTAAAAGCCAACGAATCAGAAGTTAATTGTTTCAAACCTCAAATAGCTTTTGTTTTTTAAAATTCCTTATTTGTAGGTGGTAGTCAAGGACTTCAGATGTTGAAATATATATTTTCTTTGTAATAAAACTTCATTCTTTTCAAAAGTTTCTTCTATAAATGTATATAAAAACCCCTTTGTCAAATCTGCTACTAGATTTACTAGAATCAAGAATAAACTAATTTTAATAATCCTGTTAAAATGATTTCTATAAAGGCTGTGGGAATAGGTGTTTCCAGATATACTCAATTTAGCATACCTATATTTTATACTCTGTAGTGCATATGTTCTGAAGACATTGTAAAATATCTGTAAAAAGTATTACATCCAAGTATTCACACAAATGTTAAAGTGAGCAACTGATCTCTAGAAAAAAGCCTCAAGAATATTCTTTTAAAAAAGCTGCTGTAAATACTCAAAATGTATTTCAAATGCTTTTTAAGAGATTATTTCCCTCTTCCCATTATTTGTTATAATAGTGTATAATTTGTTAAAATAGTACCATGCCTGACTGAAAACAATGGCATCAAGGCACTTTTCTAATATATTTATAGCTGTGTCACAGGTAGCAAAAATTTAAAAATATTATTTTGCTTTAAAAATTAAAAGCACTGTACATTTTTTCTAAAGAAACATTTTTCACATGAAAACACAAGTACGTATGGATGTGAGGAAATACTCTTGCTCATTTCAGGTACAAAAATATGATTTCAAGAGCCCCTTAGTTATATTTTGATTCAAGGACATATTCCGACTATAGTAATTCTATGACAGGAGATGAGCTGAAGAGATTCTAGACTAATACTAAAAACCATGATTCTTTTGCACTGCTGCGAAAACAATCATTCCTTGAATCTAGTTTCATATATTTATAGCTAATACTTTGTCAACTTGCTTATAAAAAATGTCAGTATTCTGAATTATTTTTAACAAACTCTTAAATTGATTTTTGGGGAAGCTGTAAATAGATTCATTTTGCTGGAGGTAAAAACATAAGGGGAAGGTCTAGGTAGCATGGAGAACGATGCTAGAGGTGGGAGAGGAGCCATATCTTGGGAGGGCCTTGTGTGCCATGCCAAAGCACTGACTTTGATTGCTGAGAAGGTCTTTGAATAATTGAATAGATTTAATAGAAGAGTTTAGATTAGAGCTTCTCAACCTTTTTTGCATCAGAGGTCACTTTGAGAGTCTGAAAAAAGCTTTGGCCCCTCTCCTCTCATTTAAGCACAAGTGTACACACACACACAAACACACAAAGTGTCAATGTGAGGGAGACAGACTAGAGGCAGGAGACTGATGATAAGACTTTTGCACAATCTGAGGCCTGAGCTTGGGCCCAGTGCCACTAACACTCTGGGGCAGGCTAGAGCATGGAGATAACGAGTTCAGCTGGCAGGCGAGGTCTGAGGGGCCTGTAGACGGCATCCATGTAGTTACTGAGCAGGCAGTTTTAAGTATACAGCTTAGACTGAGGTTGTTTCGGTTTAGGAAACAGCAGCATTATCCATGTATTTTGAAGAAATGTCTTTATTAATAAAGATTTTTCATTATTTCTAAAGAATCCATTCAAAAGTACTTATTTTGCTCTTCACCTCCATGCCATTCCTGAATTTGGAAAGCATGGAATATCATTTTGTCTGATTCTCTTTGGTTCCTGAGTTTTAGATAATGAATGGTGAAAGTTTGGATAGCAAAGTATTCAGCTAAAAAGTAACCTGAAACTGCCAAAATTCAGAGAACAAGAATATGGACAGTGAGCAACACCTGTGTTCAGGATTTAAAATTTTTGATTTAATGAATTCTGAAAAGAGTAAGAACTGGTTCCCTTTTGGATTAAGAGTAATTTATTCTAAATAGCTCAGTGATAGCTAATAATCTTAAAGATTTTGGATGGAACAAATGCTTCTCTTATTTTGGAAAGGGCCCATTCAGATCATCTGCCTTATTGCCTCAAATGAAATAAAACAATGCTAAGTGAATATTTGGGGAAAAAATACAAACTATGCCAATATATCCTGATAATTAAGCCCTTCCTTTATACCCGCAACACCCTAAATATACCCTAAACTTAAACAACTTAGTTTTTTAAAAATATATTACTGGGGCTGGCCTGGTGGTGCAGTGGTTAAGTTCATGTGTTCTGCTTCAGTGGCCCAGGGTTCACTGGTTTGGATCCCAGGCACGGACCTACACACTGCTTATCAAGCTATGCTGTGGCAGGTGTCCCACAAATAAAATGAAGGAAGATGGGCACAGATGCTAGCTCAAGGCCAATCTTCCTCAGTAAAAAGAGGAGGATTTGTGGCAGATGTTAGCTCAGGGCTAATCTTCTTCAAAAAAATCCCCATATTATTTAATGTAAGTTTACAAATGTGGCTAAATTTTCTATCATATGCCCTTTCTGACAAAGATGCTTGAAGATCTACTCAAGAAATAACAGAAGAAAAGTTGTTCTAGATTCATACAAAAAACAAATTACCTGGATGACTATCTGGCCACTTGGCAAATCCCCCTACAAGGCGATCTTGAGTTGATAAGATGTAATTTCTATTTTTCTCAAAGTTAGTGTATTGGAAAATTTTCAGAAGCTGAAAAAACATGATAAATATAAATTTAATGACATAAACTTTCATATTAACCTTTGGCTCAATTTTCAGATGTGTATCATTTAAATATGCTCTTTTCTATCTAACGCTCTCAGAGCAAGCTTCTGTGGACTTGAGCACTTAAAATGATTCAACCACATTACTGTCTTTTTTTTTATCATCTTATCAAATCTACTCTCCTTTTCTTGACCCACCACTCACTATTTCCTTCTTCTAAACCACGCCCAAATAACAACCTCTTTGCATCACATTTAGCTAGGTTCAAAACACAACTTCTGCAACCTGTTCAACTTAGTCATTTAAAAAAATGCAATTTTATCTTCTCATATTTTAAGACTTATGATGCTTTTGAGCTATTAGTTACAAACTGGTGGTAACTAGAACTAAAAATATTTCAAAAGAGAGCAACAAAATTATTACCAAGATGCTAGAGACAGTTTTGTTTGAGAATAGTAAAAAATTATAGCTCTGTAATTAGGAAAGATAGAAGGTGAGACAAACGTGGTTTTAGCACAAAAATTAGGTAGCTTAAAGATTTAGGACATGTGTTTGTCTTCACTCTCAAGATCCCACTAAATAGAAAAAACTAAAGGATAAATCAAACTGTGAAGAGAATAGGGCAGGGGGTGAGCAGTAGACAAGAGAGTTAAAGAGATTTCTGTAAGACATAAAGCAGTTGAAAGTATGTAAATGAATCAGAGAGCCAGGGAAGATATTAGTGATTAATAAAAAAGCATTTTCTCAAAAAGAAAAACAAAACCAACATAGTTATGGTACAAATAAGAAACAAACCTATTCATTCATTTTGATTTAATTCATAGGATATAAGGAAAGAGACTCTAGAATCCTGATGCTAGAAACATTTTCCATCAAGTGGCACATGGATCATTAAATAAACAGAAATTATAATCTTAACACTGTATTTAGTTCAGCAATAAACAATATTTACATGATCATAATAAGTGATTATTTGTTTTCAAACTTTAGAATCAACCTACAGGCAAAGGAAACAACAAATAAAAAACAAAATAAACAAAATAAGTAATTTATAAATAAAACAAAATAAATAATATTTAAATATTTTATTATTGTTAGTAAATAAAACGAAATAAAATAATTTACAAATTTATAAAACAAAATAAAAAATATTTTATTATTGTTACTAAATAAAATTTGAATGCTACCTAACTTGACATTACAAAAGTGAAGGCAAACTGACAGAACTAGAAGGTGTAAAAGGTTCAGAACTAAAAAAAATATAAAACCAGTAACAATTTGCTAGAAAAAAAGAAGGCTAAATCTTCATTTTTCCTAGCTAGAAATAAAGCTACTGTCTAAAGGTGCTAAGTCAAGAAATCAGTATATTATTTAAATTATCCACAAGAATTAAAATTTTAAAAATGTTTAAAAGTTGTCAAAGAATACCAAGGTCATATGAAGAAGACTCAAGACCAAACTGAAGGGGCTCCTTCTGGCTAAAGATGGGACAATTTGAACATTACAAACAATATAATGAATTAAAACATATAAAATGTTAAAATCTATGAGTTCACAATGATACTTAAAGGAAAAAAAGCCTGTAAAACCCAATTATTTTATTGGAAAACTTTAGGGGATGCTAGCAAACCAACTCACTGTACTGGACGAACATTATTGAAATTAAGAGAAAGAATTAACTGTTTATCTGCCTTTCACTGGACCAACTATACCTCAGGGTAAAGTAAAATTCTTCTTTATAGAAGAATCCTAGTTAATATATTTAGAAAGAATGACAGATTATCACCATTTTGCAACCCCCAGTGACATAATGGATCTATTGAGCAATGATCCTCAATGGCTGCTAAAACCATTCTGTAAAAAGGTTGATAAGGTTTTTATACGCTAGCAACAAACAATCCAAAAGGAAATTAAGACAGCAATTATGCTTACAATAGCATCTAAAAGAATTAGATACCTAGGAATAAATATAACCAAGGAGGTGAAAGACTTGTATGCTGAAAGCTACAAAACACTGCTGAAAGAAATTAAAGGTCTAAAGAAATGGAAAGACATTCCATGCTCACAGATAGGAAGACTTAACAAAATTTCAACAGCCTTTTCCTAAGAAATTGGAAAGCCAATCCTCAAATTCATATGAAAGTACAAGGGGACCCAAATAGCCAAACAATCTTGAAAAAGAACAAAGTTGGAAGACTCATACTTCCTGACTTTGAAACTTACTACAAAGCCACAGTAATTAAAACAATATGGTACTGGCACAGGGATAGACCCATGGACCAATGGAATAGAACTGAGAGCCCAGAGATAAACCCTCACATATATGGTCAGCTGATTTTCAACAAGGGTGCCAAGACCATTTAATGGGGAAAGGACAGTCTTTTCAACAAATGGTACTGGGAAAACTGGATATCCACATGCAAAAAATGAAGTTGGACTCTCAGTTTATACCATATACAAAATTTACTCAAAATGGATCAGAGACCTAAACTGAAGAGCTAAAACTATAATAATGTTGGAAGAAAACATTGGGGAAAAATCTTCAAGACACTGGACTTGGCAATGATTTCATGGATAGGACAACCAAAAGCACAGGCAACAAAAGAAAAAACGGATAAATTGGACTTCGTCAAAATTAAAAACTTTTGTACATCAAAGGATAATATCAGCAGAGTGAAAAGGCAACCACGAAACTGGAGAAAATATTTGCAAATATTTTTCTTGATAAGGGATTAATATCCAGAATCTATGAAGAATTTAAACAACCCAACAAGAAAAAAAACAAACAACGTGATTAAAAAATGGGCAAAGGACCTGAATAGACATTTCTCCAAAGATATACAGACGGCCAATAAGCACATCACAAGAAGCTCATATCACTAATCATTAGGGAAATGAAAATCAAAACCACAATGAGATACCACTTCACATCCATTAGAATGGCTATCATAAAAAAAAAGAAAAAACAAGTGTTGGTGAGGATGTAGGGAAACTGGAACCCTCATACATTGCTGGTGGGAATGCAAAATGGTGCAGACACTGTGGAAAACAGTTTGGTGGTTCCTCAAAAGAGTAAACATAGAGCTACCACATGATCCAGCAATTCCACTCCTAGGTAAATATTCAGAAGAAATGAAAGTAGAGACTCGAACAGGTATCTGCACATTAATGTTCATAGCCACCTTATCTACAATAACCAAAAGGTGGAAACAACTCAAGTGTCCATCAACAGATGAAAGGCTAAACAAAATGTGGTATACATACAATAGAATATACATAGCTATATTATGCATACATACAATAGAATATTACTCAGCCACAAAAAGGAATGAAATTTTGATAAATGCTACAACATGTATGGAACTTTAGAATATTATGCTAAGTGAAAGAAGCCAGAGAAGGGCACATATTATATAATTCCACTTATATGAGCTACATAGAATAGGCAAATTCACAGAGAAAATAGAATAGAGGTTACCAGGGGCTGGAGGGAGGGGAGAAAGGGGAGTTAGTGTTTAATGAGTACACATTTTCTGTTGAAGACGATAAAGTGTTTTGGGTATAGAGTGGTAATGGTTACACATCATTGTGATTGTAATCAATATCACTGAATCATACATTTACAAATAGTTAAGCTGACAAATATTACATTATGTATATTTTACCACCGTAAAAAAAGTAAAAAGAAAAAAAGCTGATGGGTAACTTTATAATGGATAAATTAAGTTTGACAACTCTGGAGCCCTTTGATCAAAAAGAGAGACAACCACTGATTACGTGCCCTTGATGTGATGCAGCAGTAACAATTATTATCACTAACTGGATATTTAATGATAATAAGGAATTATCACTGATTTTTTAGACGTGATAATGATACTGTAGTCCTGGTTTTTTAAAAAGTTACTTTTGTTTAACAATTATACTGAAGAATTTCCAGATAATATAAAGAAATGACTCGTGGTTTATTCTTTTAAGATTAATATCTTCCCATAAAACCTTTATTGGTATGTTTGGACTACCAGTCAGTTTCAGTAAGTTTTTTGTGAACTTATATCTACTTTCTTACCTAGGTTCTGGGCCACTTGAGTTTTGTAAGAATGCGAATTTTCAAGTAGTACAACAGATAACTGAAGTCTATGGAAAAACCAGAGACTAGCGTTGCCAGAGCAACAGGAAAAACTTAGTAGCCTATAACTAACAATATTTAATGAACATTACAAAGACCAACCCTTTAAGCACAGTTTATATTAACATAGAATACAGGTTTCTCATTTTTATTATTTCTCTTACCTTTAGAGTTGCTCCCACCCAAAAAGAGTAACAGGTGTCTACGGGCTTATTAGGTCTTCCATGGTAACCATTTTGTTGCCTCATTATACACCACCTCTTTATCCTGTTCAATTCTTTTTCTGAAAAAACTTCTTCTAGTTTACCCATCAGACATAGTGATGCAATGCCACAAAAAGTGGATCCTCCTGTTAATCAAAACCATACAATACTTTAGACTTCAAGTTAGATGTCTAGGAAAATAACATAAAATGGTTGGAGGAAAAAAAAAAGCAATTACATAATTCTGGAAAATAGTGAAATAAAAGTAATTTAAATTTGAAAGACAATTAATTATGATTTTAAAATAGCCACTAAGCACTGAAATCTTCAAAATTAATTTGATGAGAGAGAAAAGAATTTAAAATAATTTAAAGCTAAAAGAAACATTTTTCTTACAAAAAAAAGTAAGACTGGGAGAGATTAAGGAACTTGTTCAAAATTACATAGTTAATGGCAGAGTTGAAACTACACTCTAGGACCACTACTCCCCATCCAAGACTCTATCACCTGAGTCTAATTTTAATTCTCTTAAAGACAGTCTATTGCTTATGAATTGAGGTTAAATCTGCTTCAAGCTACAGACTAATTTTCACATATAACATAAACATGGTAGAAGCTGATGTACAGATATGATACCTTGTCAACTTAAGAAATTTAAGGAAGAAAAGTCTGAGGGGGGAGTGAGGGAGTGTGTGAGGGGAAGAAAAGTGTATCTGGAAGTAGATGCACAGTGAGTATCCATACTTAAGACTGAATACTCTCCCCAACGATACTCAGGTACAAATCCCTAGAACATGTGCCTGTCACCTTATGTGGCAAAAAGGACTTTGCAGATGTGATTACATTAAGGATCTTGAGATGGGGAGGTTATCCTGGATTATCTGGGTGGGCCCTAAATGTAACCACAAGTGTCCTTATAAGGGGGGCAGAGGCAGATTAAACTACAGAAAGAGGGGGCAATGTGACCATCAAAGTAGAGACTGGAGTGATGTGGCTACAAGTCAAGGAATGTTGGCAGCCACCAGAAGCTGGAAGAGGCAAAGGAACAGATTCTTCCCTGGAGCCTCCAGAAGGAACCAGCCCTGCTGACATCTTGATTTTAGCCATATAAGATGCAGCTCAGACTTGTAGCCTCCAGAACTGTAGAGAATAAATTTGTGTTGTTTTACACCCCTACGTTTGCAGTAAAATGTTACAGCAGTAACAGGAAACCAATATACTCCCAAAGGTAATTACTTCCCTCAGGAAATGAAACGTCAGTATTTTCCATAAAGGAAAAGAAACAATACTTTCCACCGGCACTACCTGTCAACTCCAAACAATTTGAAAATACTTACATTCTCAATTTATTACAACTTCACTTAGCGATTTTTATTAATTTCAGCTATTTAAATGGATTATTCCTGGGAGCTAAACAAAGTAAGTTAGACAGAGAAAGCCAAATGCCATATGATTTCACTTATATGTGCAAGATAAAAAAACAACAATCACCAAACACATAGGTACAGAGAATAGATTGGTGGTTACCATAGGGGAGGGGCGGAGGGAGGGTGAAAGGGGTAAAAGGGTACATGTGTACGGTGACACATGGCAATTAGATGTTTGGCAGTGAGCATGATATAGTCTATACATAAGTTGCAATATAATGATGTACACCTGAAATTTATATAATGTTATAAACCAATGTTACCTCAATAAAAAATTAATTAACAAAATAAAATAAATTGATTGTTCCTAATATGCCTCATCCTGTAACTTTCCTTCTGGTGTTAGAAATCTTGGATGTATTCTCTGGAAAAGTGAACACTCCCTCTAGAAAGCTCAAGGCATCTATGACATTAAAAGGGTTCCTGTCAGTAAGAACCATTTAATCTTCAGAATTTTTCCCAATTATTTGGGAGATCTATATTAGTCATGAGTGAATTAAAACAGAAAAGTAAAAGAAATTTATCATAACCTTTAGAAGAACGTCTATTAAGCAACTATGAATCTTATTTCCTCTTCAATGATCCACTAGTTTCAATTTCTCTTTCATGATAAGTTGGCCACGACTTCAGGTATTACAACATCATTACATACAAAGCCTCTAACAGACAGAATGTAATCTTTACAACTACTGAAAAGTAAAAAGAGGTATTTGTTACTCTCCAAATACTTGTTAGAATTCTTTAAAGCAAACTGGCACAATTCAAAGTAAAAATACTCTTTACTTGCCCAAATCACTAGATTTTGAAAATAATAACTTCTCAAGTAAGTATGGGCTCTGAGTAGCCAAAAACAGTTATGCTTTAAGCTAAATTGATTTAACCAACATTTACCCATGAGAGGTTCTTGTTTCACACGAAATTCCAAAAAATTAATTCTAAAAACCTGGATTAAAAGCAAGATGTTAGAAGAGTGTTAGAGGCATACATAAAAACAGCGAGAAAAGACAGGTAATATCCTGACAATAAGTAAATTAAGAAATACTACGAAAAAGCAGGTACAAGAATGCAAATAGAATATTCTTTTAGGGCTAGACAGGATTAGGTCAATGATTCCTACAAGTTTCAAAAAACCTCAAGAGTATCACATTATTAAATTACAGTACAATCCAAGAACTGCTTCTCATAATAATGATCTGAATTCATCAAGAAAAGGTTAAATTGTGTTCATTATGCCTTGGTTGAAGAAGGTATGAAAATAACCTTTACTGAAGGCACGTAACAGTACAAGAATATTAGGGCACATGCAAATAAGAGACAGATTTCCAACTGCAATTGCTAAAAGTTTGCCACCTAAAGTGATACACTTCAGTTAGATGGATAATTAATGTACACAGAGTACCTCAGTCATAAAGCATCGCAGCTAGAAGGGACCACAGAGGTTCTCTATTAACAACGTACCCAAGTTCTTTGAGGTGCAACGGAAAGGAGGTGTTCCTGACTCTAGTTCCGTATTCAAGGGAGTTGAACGCTTAGATGAAATTAGGCCAAAAAGAGTTTAATATTTCTCTTCTGGATTAAGGAGTAGAGATATTTTAAAAGAATCACTAAATCAAATTAGTTTATCTGAAATTTTATATTATGAATCCTGAGAGGAAAAAATAGTGTTAATCCCTGCAATGTGGGAAAATTCAATTCCTATAAAACACATGAACATTGTATCCTATAACTATACTATCATAAGAGAATCACTAGGATAAACAAAATCATCACACGTGATGATCACGGCCTAGAAGGGTACAGTGTGCCTGTTTACTTTTCATGACAAATGGGCTTCAGGCTAAGGAGCAGTTGGAGAAGAGCAGATGAATTAAAAAGAAAAAAACTCCAGTGTATTAAATAACGTTTAGACTGCAGACTTAGAAAGAAAAGCACATGAAGAAACTTGATTATTATCAAACTGTAGCAGAAGTACCCATTCCAGATTCAGCCTTCTCAGCTTCAGGATGGGGAGTGGGATAAAGGATAACCAACTCAATGAATACATACTGAACAACTACAAGTGTACAGGGCATATGGAGTAAGATACGAATAAGACATGATCAGCTTACAATCTAGCAGAGAAGATAAGGTAAACAGAGATAAGTACCGTGAAAATGGTATGAACCAAGTTTATGGGATTACAGAAAAGGGAGAAAGTGCTCAGGGCTAGTGGGGATGAGAGATGATGAAAGGTCTTAGAGAGAATGTGACACTGGAACTAGGCATAGAAAGATGGGCAAACTTTGAAGGTTAAGAAAAGGGAAACGAGAAAAAGCAGGTGGAAGAGAAGCATTTCAGGCTCAAAACAACCCAGAATAATAGCAAAGTCCAGAGGTGAAAAGGCATGTAAGAACATTTGGAGAATACATTTTCTCTACAGCCTAAAGTGCGTGGAAGGGCTCTCTCACACGTGTGTCTACAAAGCTAGGGTAGAACTGGATCATGGAGAACTAACCTAAGGGATTTAAATGCGGGCAGAATGGTATTGCTGAGTAAGCACAGGGTTTCAAGTGGGTTATGACATTTATCTGATATGTGAGCCTACTACGCAAGTTATTTAACTTCTCTGAGTAAAATGACAATAATTATTGTGGTGGTTTTGTATTGTGTTAACTTGGCTAAGCTAGAACTCTGTTTCCCAGAATCCTCTTTCCTGTATGGCCTAAAGTTAGAGAAATCTGTGTAAGATTTGTAAGGTGGAAGTGAAGCAGCAGCCATTACCCTGGTTGTGGTTAGAGGATGTAAGAGAAAGGCAGAGGCACTGGTAGATTCCAGCTTGCCCTTATTCTCTCATATACTTGGAATCCAAATTTTCTTACTTCTCATCCTGGTGACAGCAGGCCCATGAACGGATGCAGGAGCAAGAGTTCTCCACAGACTCTTCCACCACAGTCCCAGTCTGGCAGCTGGATGTGCCTGGCTTTCCAGATTCCCCTGCAGGATCTGACTTGTCTACCTGTGCCAGTGCTTCAGAAGGGCTTGTCAGTGACTTTTCTCTGACCCGCCAATTACTCCGTTCAGGCCCTTACTTCTCCATTTTCTTCCAGAACTGTGTAAAATCTTATTCTTATAATAAACCTTATTCTTTAATATTCATAGTGGTTTTGCTTCTCTGACTGAATCCAACTAATACAGACTCAGGCACACACAAGAATTATGGTGTCCTAATTAGAGCATGGCTTCAAGGGAAAATCCAAGACAGTCTTCTACGTACTCCTTAGTGACACATACTCTACAAATACTTACATGGAAGGAGGGAGTAAAGATGTTGAGAGAGGGAGGAGAGACCTGATAGGACAAGGTCCCAGGGGAAGTACAAGGATATGAGGTTGAGGAGTATATGTTAAAAACATCTTTTTATACATGTTTTATAGTTTACAAACCACTCTTCCCATATCTCTTATAATCCTAACAAGAATCTTAAAGAAAGATATAATTATTTCTACACTGTCGATGAGGAAACCCTGAGAGAGATAAGTGAGGAGACAAGGTCACACAGCAAGTGTCAGGGCCAAGATCTGATTACTGATGTGTTCTGTCCACTCTATCACACTAGCAGAGGGATGGACACAACAAGTAAGCACAGAAACTGCTGTGATCAAGAGGAAATAAGAGTTTACTCAGAAAGCCTCCTTGATCTGGGCTCTTTCTTTTCAAAAAAAAGAATATGTAAGCTTATTTACTTTTACATGGAAATACTCAATTTGAAAGAGTTCAGGCTATGGATGTGCTGACAAACTAAATGAACAACATCTTACTATTCTGATTCTGCCAAAAGTGGGGGAAAATGTGAAAGAAGAGATTATATTAACGTATGTACTGAACATATGCTATGTAGCAAAACGTTTTATGACCATGACTGAAGATAATTATATTAAAGGTAAATAAAAAATTTTCATTCACAAACTAATTCATGTTTAATATTCTGCATCTAGCCTTTTTTAGTTATGCCAAAGGAGAAACATTGCTGTTTTCTAACAATATCTTAAGAAATCACTCCAAGATATTTTCATGAAGTTAATACTTGAAAAGATTACTAGCAAATACTGTAGGAACATTTTAGTCTGAATAATCTCTGAATGATTACTGACCTAGAAGAGGGTCAAATTGGCACCACAGTGTCAAAAGAGAAGTAGGAAAGAAGATAATCAGGCTGTACCAAGGGTTGAGACAAACTTCTGAGGGCCTCCATGTCAGATACCATGATGCTATTTAAAGGAACAAAATAAACTATGTGTTCATTTATTTTAAGATGCCTTACCATGAGATTCAAGTCCAGCTCCCTGTGCCAACCCATTGTCATAGGACTGAAAAAGAAAAACATTGTTCAGTTTAATAGGGAAATAAAATAGACAAATAAGTTGTCATTATGCTATGTTTTTTGTCTCAGTCTAATTTATTTCTCCTTTATATCTTCCAAAACATGTACTCTTTTCCACAAAGAAGTAGATCTAAGCATTTTCAAAACTTGATCTTGTCTTATTCACTATGCCAAATTATTAAATGTATATACTAGGCACATTCTGAGAACAGACTGCTCAAATAGGGCATCTACATATTCAACTTCCACCCAACAGAAAGCCCCAATCCTTATCATCTCCCACTTGCAAGAACATATGAGTTTAAGAAAAATGTAAGCATTTTATAGTCATAAAACATTATAAACATGAAACAAATCTATTTTGAGGCTTTGAGTAGCCGAGGATAATGGTGCCTGCCTAAATTTCAATCTCCCCATGTACCATACAAAATCAAAACAGAACACCACAACTATATAAAACTGAAGCCTTAGCAAAGTTGGAAGACGTGTTCAAGCTTCAAACTAATTCTCTATAGAAAAAGAAACATCAAATCCCAGCAAGCCATCTCTCTGACTCCTGACACACTTTTCCAGAGAACATGGGCAATTTGTGAAAAATCATGAGAAGGGAGAGGAAGGGAGCTAATGGCAGGTCTGAGATTGATCTAAAATTACTGCCTGAAAGAGAAAGTCTACCCTAACTGTGAAATACAGGCAGACCTTGCTTTGCGCAGTTCCAATATGCACTAATTCCAGGTACGTACCATGGCTTAGTTACACAACACGATAGGGTTCAAATTTCAGTAACCATGTATACTAACTGTGAGTGATCACATAAAGTACAAACTTGCTGCTAGCTCCTCAGTCTACAAATCACTACATAAATAACAGACACGCATCGCGATCAGTGACCAATCATGTCACCTTTCTCAAAGCCAGTTAGAAATTTGTCACTGAACATGTTATTCAGTTCACACACAGACAGCAAAGTATGTGGCTGTATGGTCTCTTTGGCTCTTAGTAATACGCCCACATGACATTTTACAAAAAGGCACAACCAAAAGAGGAGATTGGCCACCAAAGCTGAAAGTGCAGTAAAGAAATGAAAAGCAGTAACACTGGAATGGAAATTGAGTTCAAACAGAGTGATATAAGAAACAGCTGATCATGGGACTGTTGCCAGTACCACTGTTTGAGACTACATATGGAGTCAAAAGAGCTAAGTGAGGGAGCAATGTCTACATGAGTGAGGAGAGCAGCTGAGATGAAAAGGGTGAAGATATTCTAGAAAAAGTGATGCGGGCAAAAACTTCACAGAAAAAGAACTCTCAGAGATATTTCACAACAATGATAATGGAAAAGATAAAAATGTTGAAAGCTGATACAAACTAAGAAAAGTATAAACATTTACCAAGACAGAAAAGACGTTTGCTCCATATAAGTTATATTATGAGAAGAAGGCAAAGCATTGTTCAAACTACTCTTTATAAATTCTTTGCAAAGAAAACACTTTAATTCTCAATATTACTAATGCTTTAAATTATAGGGTACTAAATAAATATCGGCCTTACTAATAAAAAAATTATATATTTATGACTGACAGTAAAATAATTTTTAATGTTTTGCCAACAAAGTGTAACACAACAATCGTGATTTTTCCCACGGATGATTAAGACCACTGTGCATGATTTCAGCTTGCATGCTCATCACTGCAGTCCGGCACTACCATGCAAAGTGAGCACTTCCTGAACTGAAAGAGTTCTGGTAAAACTCAGCACTGACTAGAGGCAAGGGACGACTTAAGAGAGTGTGTAAGTCAAGGCAGCAAAGGGCATAACTGCAGTGAAGACAGTTAACAAGGAAGGGAGAAGGGCCCTCTGAAGATCAGACGATAAAGGAAAACTCAAAAGAGAAAAATTTAGAGATCTAGGAAACCAAAGAGAACTTCTCTCCTACTGGAAAATCATAGAACTCATAACTCTTCCTCCATCACTAAAAAAAAAATAAACAATACTCATTAAAGAAATCAAACTTTATTTCTTTGTATTGAAAAGAGGGCACTATTAAACTAGGAATTATTGTAAGAAAAAAATCCACTAAATGACTAAACAGAAAAAGACAAATCTGTACAAAGTAACTCTGAGACGCAAACACAGTGATTGGAATGAAAACATCTCAGTATATGAAAATCTACTTCCAACTCCAAGAAACAGTGATAAAGCAGAAGAAACCTGTAATACAGCACCCAAATTACACATCACCCCCAATTACAAACTCAATTACAGATCCTCAAACAAGCACTTGGGAATATGAAAAGGAAATTAAAAATTAAAAGCAGAAAAGACCAAACAGTAAGAAATAGAGAGTTAAATGATTTCAGGAAAGAAAGGGAAGAAAAAGACAGACAGAAATGAAGGCTAAATTATAGGATGCCTAAAGAATAACAGTCTCAAATGAAAAGACAATAAGGGACATTAAGAAAGGCTGAAAAGAGCCAGAAGAATAAAAATAAGATAAAGTAGTAAGAAGGGTCAGAGAAAAGTGGCTAAAATGAAAGATAAGTAAAGAAGAAAGAACATACACAAAACTAGAATACCTAAAGAAAAAAGCAAAATAATAAACTAGAAGTAGGGGTCAGCAACCAGGGACTGCAGGCTAAATCTGGCCTTCAGCCTGGTTTTATATAGTCCTGGAGTTAAGAAAATGGTCAATCTCACTCATAATAAAAGAAATGCAAATTAAAAATACACTGAGATATCATTTTTCATCCACTAGATTGGTAAAAATCAAAAAAGCATGGTAACACATTCCATTAGTGAGGCTGTGTGGAAACAGGCACTCTCATATACCGGTGGGAAAATAAACTGGTCCATAATTTTTGGAGAGAAATGGGCAGTATCTAATAAGGTTACATAAGCATTTACCTTTTGATCAAGCAATTCCACTATTAGGAATTTACCCTGAAGATATATCTCCAATAATACATAAATACACATGCAGGTTTTAATTTCAACACTGTTTATATTTGGAAAATAGGTACCCTATACATAGATCAGTTGAAAAAACCACGCTACATGCACACAATGGAGTACTATGAAACTTTAAAAAAAGGAATGAGGAAAATCTCCATGACTTGATATGGAATGATTTTTAAGCTATACTGTTAAGTAAGAAAGGCACACTACAAAAAAGTCTCTATGGTATGCTACGTTTAGAGTAAGAAATTGAGGGCGAAATAAAAATATACATTATCTGCTCATCAAAAAGAAGTAATAGGAAAGATAAAAAATTAACGAGAATGGTTACCTACAGAGTGAATGGGACTAAGGTGGTAAATATGGAGGTTAGGAAGGGGGTGGAAGATAGAAGGGACAGGAGGAGGCCCCCATGAGCTACGTGTATCTGACTTTACTTTTCTTCTTTGAGGAAGATTGGCCCTGAGCTAACATCTATTGACAATCTTCTTCTTCTTTTCTTTTTCCTCCCCAAAGCCCCAGTACATAGTTGTATACCCTAGTTGTAAGTCATTCTAGTTCTTCCATGTGGCATGCCACCACAGCATGGCTTGATGAGCGGTGTGTAGGTCCATGCTCAGGATCGGAACTGGCGAACCCTGTGCTGCTATAAAGCAGAGCACATAAACTTAACCACTCAACCATGGGGCTGGCCCCTGAATATACTTTTTTGTATAGTTCTGACTTTCAGAACCAAGTTAATATTTCACATATTAAGTAAACAAAACCAACAAAGTTGGGGGGGGGATCCTAAAATGGAACCCAAACAGAAACAAATAAACTTAACTGTATTTCAAATAAATAAGATAAACATACTAAAGGGGCAAAATAAAAGAAGTAACCTAAATATTTATTAAATATAATATTTTGACTACACACTCTCAGGCTCTCCACAAAAGAACCAATGCATTCTGGATAATAGGAGCCAAGTTTGCCACTGTCAGAGAAGGGAGTTACAAATGAAAAGAGGAAAGTTAAAGTGGACCTTGTGACGTTGGACTGAAAGTTGAGGTATCAGTATGGTTTGTGGCTTTTAATATATAGATAGATAAATAGATACAGAAATAGATATAGATGTAAGTATGTGTTTAAGGGAGTGTGTCTGTGTGTACATGCGTATATATACATTTCCTAGCTCTGCCTGCTGAGAGAGGGGCCAGACGCAATGATAGCCCAACACCAATGAGCATATCTAGTGCCCAAATCCTGGCTTTTAAACACTACTCTCCAATAAGAAGAATCAGGGCTCCTTGAAGAAATGACTGATTCCAGAACTAAGGCTGGGAAAGTAAAAGATGAACCTTGAATATCTTGTGTAGAAAGGAATGAGGTGATCAAAGAAGTAGGGGACATGTCAAAAAGGCACAAGAGCCTGCCTGAAGGGGTTCTCACTGGCCAAATCTGGGACAATCTGAGCATCAAAACAAATAATGGGAGTAACAGATAATAACCCACTGAATAAAGCAAGAATCCAGAGTCCAGGACGAAATAAAATAAGTAAATAAATAAATGGAGGCAAAGGTAAAGCTTTTTTTAACAGTACCATTTCAATTGATAAGTATAGAAAGAAAGACAAAGCTGGAAAATCACCAATGTATACTAACACTAGTGGATAAAAGTTTGACAAAGGACAGGATATTTACATAGTCTCCAAATATCTCACCACAAGATACTGAATAATCACAAAGGGAAAAATGCTAACTTTACAGAGAAAAATCTGGCATACATCAACTTAACCAAGTGATCAAAGTTAACATCACCAGTAACAGGGCAAATCAACACACTGTACTACCAAATACAACGCACTGAGAAGAACACAGTATTACTTCTGTAGTACTCACGCCAAAATGCCTATTAAACCTCTGTATAGGACATAAATCTCTTTTCCTCTTAAAACTTCTTCAAAGGTTTGCGCTCCCTGCCTCCACAGGCTTTTAAAAATTTGTGCTTCTGTAGACGCTACAAAATCTGATTCATATTCACACATTCAAGTTAAAAATAAATCCGTTCCTTTAAGAATTTACATTTTCATTTTGAAATACTGACTAGTGAAAGCTGAATTACCAGTCTAAAATATTCTAATCTATAATATTAATAACTTCATATTTGGGAAGTAATAAACCTGGGAAGCAGGACTTCTACTTCTCCAGTCTTATATGAGAAACTACAAAGTAGAGTAAAAGATAATTGTGGCTGAGACTAAGCTTTCTTTACAACTGCCAATAAAAAGATTAAATTGTATTGTGTGAAAAAATAACATTTCTACCTGACATTCTTCTTAAAATAAACCTTAGATTAAAAAAAAAAGACACATTAAAGTATTAAGAAACCAAAAGTGATCCAAAAATCTGTCAGCCCAGTCAATCTTGTTACATTTGGGTCTTACTAGTCAAAATGTTTTAAGGAACTCACACCTCACACCTAACATAGGAATAATCTCACTGAGGATGCCACAATTTTTCATTATGTTTGGCCAGGGCTCCCCAGTGACCTCTGCTAGGATAGACTATCAATATTTGCCTTTGAGATTTTATTTTATTTTTTTAGAGGGTAACCAATCTCTTTCTGAAAAAGACATTTTGTTTTTGTTAGATACAATCAGATCACATTTAAATTTTAATGGCCAAGGAGTCAATCTGTCCTTGAAGATTATTTCCACATGGTGGTTCTGATACATGACATACCTAGCAAGCAATCATATTGCCCTTATTTCCAAATTCTTGCTGAAGGAGATGAGGCATGCATTATACTGCAGCCCCCATACCCCAGAAATAATAACCTAAAACGAACAATTTATCAATATAACTCACCATACTTCTCCTAATATAGTTGATGGCTTTTTTCATATCCATGCCGGACCAGTTGTTGAGCATATAGCAAATACAGGAAGCACAGTATACAAATCGCATGTCATTTTCACTGCCTTCAGGTACTGCACAAAAACTGAAAATAATAACAATATTATTTACTATTAACACTGTACTATATATTTTTTTGCAGAGGATTAGAAACACCTATTTCATGTCTTTACTCAGAGAAACCTATCACTAAATATGGGATTTAAAAATCTAAATATAGATTTTAAAACCATATACTACTTGTATTATTCAATAAAGAAGAAACTATAAACTCAAATAATATAAAACTCTCTAAATCATTATTCGGATTTCTGGGTAGCTTTACATACCACCAGTTACTCCTTCCCAGATGCCACCACTGAGAGTAAGTTTGTTTGCTCTCAGCCAAGGACAGTGGTGGCACATTCGCTTGAGAATGCAGAAAAAGTAGCAGGTAAAACCTCGGGCCTATTGGGTAAGAAATTCCCAAGCCCAAGTTTGGCTACGTGAAATTTCTTCTAAATGTATATATAGATAACCATTAACTAACTGATCACATTATTTTAATTTTTACCTATTTAATTAGTTTTAGAGAGGTAATAGTCTATGTTTTATATCTATTCTTTTATTTATCAACAACAATAAGGTAGCAGTAATCAAAGACTATACTGAAATACTGAGAAATTAGTCACATGTAACGACTGAGGTAAATATTTAGTTTTATAGTATTTCCAATTAGCATCAATTTATCTTAATATGTCTACATTAATTTTTCCTTCATCAAGAGCAGTGTTTTTAAAATACTGACAGGAAAATAGAGATGTTAGCAGCTGGAGTACAGATGTAACAACAGAGCAGGATTTGTCCTGAATCTTTTCCTTAGACAGCATCACTACTGCTTATCACTTCCTGGACTTAACAAAAGTTTCACCTGAAAACTCGAGGAAGACTCCTCTTTACTTAGATACACCACACAAACCATCAAATATTAATGAATTCACTTCTTCTTCTGGCCTTTAAAAATGTCATGGAAACTACCTATACTAGAATATTCAATGTTCATTCCTTTCTCCCCCATCACTATGTCAAAAGGAATAAAGTTCAGACTAAATGTAGGTTTACTTCAAAATATCTATTTTTTTACCCAGAAGGTAAATTAAAGCAGATCATAATCCTGAAACTATTCAACCATTTATTTATGGATCTGTTGTCTCAGTTAAAAAAAAAAAAAAGAAACCAAAAGGGAAAGAATGGAGTTCTGCTATTTTCATTCACGTAAGAAATCACGGATTACTTTTTTGATTAGGTACTTACCTGTACATATACAGTGAACTTTAGGTGGTTCTAAGAAGAGTTTATGATAAACCCTAGAGTTCTAGTATAGTAATTTATCCATTTTTTTTAGTTCCAAAACATTTTTCTTTGGGGAAAAAACAGTAACAAAAGAGTGACCCATACCTTCCATCTTCCAGCTGAAGGGCTCTCAAGCCTGCTAAGCAAGCTTCCTTATTTACTCGGCTTAGGTCGTCTCCAAGAATAACTAAGCATGAAAGGCCAGTGTAGGTCATTGCTATGTGGCCACTATCATAAGGATGAGCTGTTCCAGGATTCTGAATTCAAAATTAATATAACATTAATTAGTAAACTGAAATGAAAACCTATTTCATTAAGTAATTTGACATGAGGTTTCAGTAAATAGTAAAATTAAATGTTGTTCACACTGATCTGCATAGATGTCTGACTGAGAAAAACAAACCTAAATTTTATATATGTCTCAATATAAGTATAACTGCCTACTTTCCAGGCTACATAATTTTCAAATTTATCCTAAAGACTTTTAAGCTTTATGGGAGTAGTTCTGATATTCAAATAAACCAAATTATTTGAACTTCATATTTAATCAACCATATCAGTTGATTCAAGTATAATAATTTGTCTTATAAAGTTATAAAATCATATAGAAATAAAAATTCTTTTATGCTGTACAAATCCATATTAAATACCATAGTAGTAATCACTATATAAAAATATTACAAAACAATACAGATGAAAAACCTTATTCTGCTCTCATATACAGTTTAATTATTTGAGTCTCTAATAAATACCAGTGCTTAGAATAGCAAAAAACAAAAAAATGCAAAGAGCTCAAGATATTAAAATCAAAAAGTTCTCTAAAAATAGAATAGTGTAACTTTTAAAATTTAGAGCCCAAATGGGTATTGATTGCAACAAGTGTTTTGTGAAGACTATTAGATTAGCAATTGTTTAAGCAGAGCTGGGAAGTCTTACTAGGAAACTCATATTACCACAGTATGTGTTGAACTAATTTTTCACTGATTTGACCATTTCAACAAAAGATAACCAGAAACAGTTATCAAAGACCTTTTAAGCTTTTTATAAAATATGTGACTCCTTGTAGGAAATCCTGTAAAGACTCTAGGAGCTGGCACAGGCCCACTGGGCCAAATAATCAACCAATCCTATTAATCAGTTATTTAAAAAAAATTATTTCACTTGAAAAATGTAAAATTTCACCTTGTACTAATTTACTACTCAGTTTAAGAAAGTTTTAGTTTTGATAGAATACGAGCATATTTTTAATTCATCTTCCTCATTGGCTTCCCTTCTATTTTAGTTTGGGCTCATCAATAATTGCCTCAAATACCAGAATAATTACTCATAATACCAGAAAGTTAAAATGAAACTTTACCAAAGATTTGGTTAAAACAGACTCCTCTGCTTTCTAAAATGTTAGCTTCTACAACCACTGAAAGATCAAATCCTGGCTCTACTATCTGTTGGCTTAATTTTCCTCATTCTGGAAAATGGAGATATTAGTACATACCTCATAGGGTTATTGTGAGGATTAAATAAACTTAACTATCTATAAAGGTCCTAGTTATCTCAAGGATGATGATGCAAATGCAAGACAGATATCAAAAGGGCCTACTACTTTTTTGGACTCAAGGGTCTTGGAACCACCAGTGACTTAATCACATTATTTCCTGTTCACTGACCTTCCAGAGTTCCTCACAGAATAAGTGTGTATGGTGGTCAATACCCTCTACAGTCTGAACGCAGCCCACACATCCAGCCTTAGATATATGGTTCTTTATAGCTTCACAAATATGCCAAGCAAATTTTCATCTTGATATCTCTCATTCTGAGTTCCTCCTTAGAACTCAATTCTCATACTCCTGGCTATTTTATTCCACATTTATAACAGCCTTATTAGAAGTCCTATAGCATAGTTCATTTTTGGTACTTAAACTAAATGTCTCCTATGTTAAAATCCAAACATAAATCAAATGTGGACCGACCTTAACCTTGAGGGTAGAAGAGAGGCCCGCTTAAATAATTTTAACACAAAGCAGTATGTAACAAATGTCATGAGGGAGATATAATAACACATGGATTTAAATAAAGGATTCTTTTCTGCAGCAGAAGAGGAGCTTGGCTAGATATACATGGAGAGGAGACTTTAGAGGTAGAAGAAAAAGTAAAAGCAAAAAAGCAGAGAAGGAAAATTCTGGGGTATATGGTACATGTTAAGGACAATACACAATTTAATACATACGTGATTTGTGAAGGAAAATAGTGAGAAAAGTCAGCCGGGAGAATCTCTTAGTGTTTCTCAAAAAGTGCTCTAAGACCAGTGAAGGTCCTGGGCATTTATCAGGTAAGGCAATGGCCCACAGGTGGTTTAGTGGTTTCAGAAGAAAAACCAATGATACTATTTTACTTATATACTGTATTGGACAATCCTATGTGCCTCCTAAGATTCTCTTGGTTTCATCTGTCCCCTGGACTCTCAACCACTGCCTTCAGTGAAAACTCCTTGTGAGCCTTTCTGATTCCACCTGAAGTCTCTAGCTCCTTCCAGCACTCAGAATTCAGATGAAGGGAACACAGAAGGGAATGGCACCTAGCTTCCCCAGAATATGCCAGGGTCTAGGTGAACTAAGGGCCAAAAATGGGTTTCAGGACAGTCTGTGAACCAAGGGCAAAAAATAGTTTCTTCTTAAATTTTATTCCTGTTATTTTGAAAACGTCTTGCGGGGGAGGAAGACGGCTGTCTTTATAAAGTAATGCTATCAAAGCACTGTTTTCCTCCAACAAGTATAGGTGTACACCTGTAATATGGTATGGTAGTGTACAATGGTCATCATTACCAATGTCATGACATCCAGATATCCTGTCTATTTTAAAAAAATGGAGAGCTATCTTTATTCAGGACTGGCTTAAATTGGAAAATATTATATGCATCAGAAAAAAGGACAAATTTTACGAATTGTTTTCAGAGTCCCTGCTAAAATGCAACAGGCACACACAACTGGAGACACCTTGGCAAACTGACATGACCTTGACAAGACAGGTTGGTCTACAGCTTAAGGCAGAGGAAGAAAGTTGAAGCAGTGCCTCTATGAAATCATGTCACTGTCTCCAAAATCACTGCCATTTATTCTAAAATTATGAAGCAGATTATGGAAAAACTGGCAGCACACCATTTACCTTCAGCTTGCCACTGGACATAAATCTTGACATACTCAGTGTAGCCAGATACTGGCTTGTAATTATTATATAAGCAGATTGACCTCCATTAAGGAAAATGTTTCTATGCTATGAGGACTCTTTTGCTAAAATGATGAAGTTATTCTCTGCTTTCTACTGTAGAAAAATATTACTATTTTGTGTACAGATGAAATACCTACAAGCTTGTTCTGGATCTGATTCTTCAAAGAAAAAAAACTCACTTTGTTAGAACTCACTGCTTTCCACCTGCATGTGCTGGTACCAAAGCCTCTGCCTATAACCATGAAGACAGTGTGCCTACTGCCATGAAGGTCATCAAATTCATCACTACTGAGGTCTTCAGTCACTGCCTTGGCAAGAGCTTTTTCTTTTATTCCTAGCAAATGAGAGCCAAATACAAAATCCTTCTCTAACACATGGGAGTTCACTGGCTTCTTAGAGAATAAGTATCAAGCACTTAGGTGCTTTATTTCCATTTTCCACAGGAAATCACCAATTATTTTTACACATATACACAGGGTAGTAAGGACATAATTTTTATAACAACAGGAATTTGTGTGTGTATATGTGCTGTGCATTCCTCCAGGAAGTAAGGCAGATACAGCTTTCTTTTAAACAGTTTCAGTTCATAATGTACATTATAAGACAGTATTTAACTATATTAGAACCTGGAAGCCTGGTACTTCCTGTATAATTTCTTAGTTTTCTTTCTCACTAAAATCTCCCCACCTCCCTTCCCCTTCCTTCTGACCCAAAGAGAACTAACCTTTGATGGATTGAATGGAATACCGAGGTATGAAGAGCCTCGGAAACCACAGCGATTTAGATTTGATCCTAGAAAATAAAAACATGTACTTATGTAAAGTATACCTTTTCTTGTATAGATTCTAAAGCAGTTCAATTATACAATCTTTCAGAAATAGAGCATTTTAGCACCAAAACTTTGCCGCTATCTCCATTTTCATTCTAGCTAATGTTGAATGATTACTATGTGCCAGATCTATTCTAAGTGCTTTATGGGAATTTCTTCATTTAATCTCCAAACAGTCAGAGACAAAATGACAATATCCTACCACTTATTTTTAGTTTATAAACCACCTCACCGTGTACAAAACACTTTCATACTTCTCCTATATGACCATATTTCATGGGATCAACATATTCAATCTCCCATTCTCAGAACAGAAAGTAGAAGCCTAGAGGTTAAGTGACATGTTCAAGGAAAACAGTCAGTTAATAACATAACAGGAGCTAGAATCGTAACTTCCCATCTTTTTATTCGAACTCATTGCTTCTTTACATGTCAGCAAGCTAAACGTCTAAGCTGTTCTACAGTCACAGAAAATATATGTACTTTGTCTTTCAGTATTAGACAAATCTTCATTCTGAGTGCAATAACCCATTTCATTTCAAAGTACGAAGAACACTATGTTAGCTCTTAATCTCTACTCAAAGTATGTTTACTCACACAAGTATTTTTTTAATCTAAAAATTATCATTTTTCAAGATATCAATGGAATATAAACCAGGAACTTAAGAAAGAAAACAAGTCACATCCACGAAAAGGGAACCCTTGTACCCTGTTGGTGGGAATGTAAATTGGTGCAGCCACTATGGAAGACAGTATGAAGGTTCCTTAAAAAATCAAAAACAGAGCTACCATATGATCCACCGACCCCACTTCTAGGTATACATTCAAAGAAAATGAAATCGCTACTTTGAAGAGATATCTGCACCCCCATGTTCACTGCAGCATTATTTACAATAGCCAAGATATGGAAACAATCTAAGTGTCCACTGATGGATGAATGGATAAAGAAAATATATACAGGAATATTATTCAGCCATAAAAAAGGAAATCTTGGCTTTTGCAACAATATGGATGAAGCTTGAGGACATTATGCTAACTGAAATAAGCCAGACAGAGAAAGACAAATACCACATGTTCTCACTTATATGTGGAATCTAAAAAAGCTGAACTTGTACAAAGAGAGTAGAACAGTGGTTGCCAGTAGGGAGATGTTGGTCAAAGGGGACAAACTTCTAAGTATAAGATAAATAAGTTCTGGGGATCTAATGTACAGCATGGTGACTATAACTAACAGTATCTTATATACTTGAAAGATGTTAAGAGAGATCTTAAATGTTACCACCATACACATACACACACACACACATGCACACACACACACACACACACACAGAGCACAGAGGCAATTCCGTAAGGGGATGAAGGTGTTAACTAACCTTATTGTGGTAATCATTTTGCAAATACTATACATGTGACAAACCATCATGCTGTATACCTTAAACTTACATATGTTATATGTCAATAATATGTCAGTAAAGCTGGAAAAAAGAAATTAAAGAAATGAAAAAAGTTGTATCCACAATAAGAAAATAATTATGGTTTTGGTAGCTATTAGAAAACCAGCATGATAGATAGAGAAGATAGAAATGTAGTTTCAGCAGACTGTGCATGCATTGTCAATTAAAAAAATCAAGTTGATTTAAAATAGCTTCTGATATGAGGAACCAGCTTCACATCTCTTATGACAGGTACATGACTAATTCACAACAACTGGTTTTCACTCTTCTATTTCTTCAAATCAGGCACTGTACTCTATTCAGCTTTATATCCCCCCAAATACTTACAACACTGGCTTATACATTAATTCTTTGAACAATTTAGGAAACCTTGCCACTAAATTTAAAACCTTCCACCAAGCATCTTCACCTATTAACAAAAAAATTACTTAAAAAGGATACCATCTAATAGTGATTTTGATGAACATGGTTCTCTTATCCTTGCTAAAGACTTTTAAATTGGCAGCCCATTTAAGACTTGCCACTACTTAAGAATGATAAAAGTGCTCATACCCTTTGACTTGGTAATGATACATCTGAGAATCTACTCTAATAACTTCAAATAGGAGAAAGCTCATATGCAAAGAAACACTCACTGCAGTATCAGTGAAAATTTATAAGCGACACAGGTTAAGGATAACATACTGTATCTACTAAAAGGAACATTACACAGTCACGCACTGTATGTCGGTCAATGACACACTACATATACAACAGTGGTCTCATAAGGTTAGTACCATATAGCCAAGGTGTGTAGTAGGCTATACCATCTAGGTTTGTCTAAGTGCAATCTATGACGTTTGCACAACTACAAAATCACCTAACAATGCACTTCTCAGAACTTATCCCTGTCATTAAGCGATGTATAATTGCCATTAAAAGTAATAATTAGGGAAATCTATGTAGCAACACGGAGAAACATATATCATCAAGTTAAGAGAAAAAGTAGAATACAAACATATGTGCATTATCATGTTTATAATTAAGCAAAGGGTGCTTATCAATAAAGCTCAGAAGGGAACAAACAAAATAATATTGTGGGATGATACAAGGGTGAATTTTGTTCTCTGTTATGAGTCATCGTTGCCATAACAAATTACTACAAACTCAGAAGATAAAAAAGCCACTTACTTATTATCTCACAGCTCTGTAAGGTCTGGAGTTCAAGGCAGATCTCACCTGGCTAAAATCAAGATGTCGGTAGGGCTACCTTCCTTACTGGAGGCTCTGCGAGAAAATCTGCCTCCAAGTTCATTCAGGTTCTTCGGCAGAATCAAGTTCCTTGCAGTTGTGAGACTGAGGTCTCCGTTTCTTTGCTAGCTGTCAAGTGGGGCCTCCTTAAGCTTCCAGAGGCTGCTCTTGCCATTTCTTGCACATACGTCTCTATATCTCAGAGCCAGCAACAGTGCTCAAATTCTTTTCATGCTTAGACTCTCTGGCTTCCCCTTCTGCAGCATCTCTCTTTTGCCCTCTTCCACTGCATTTCTCTGACTGACTCTTCTGCTTTCTCCTTTTAAGGGCTCCTGTGATAATACTGGGCCCACCTGTTTACATAACAGCTAAAGATAATCTCCATATTTTAAGATCAGCTGATTAGTAACCTTAACTTCATCTGCAAGTCTGTGTAGTACAGTAGTCCCCTCATTGTTGCAGTTTCAGTTACCCGTGGTCAACTGGGCTCTGAATATATTAAATGCAAAATCCCAGAAATAAATATTCATAAGTTTTAAATTATGAGCGCCTTTCTGAGTAGCATGATGAAATCTTGTGCTGTCCCACTCTGTCCTACCCAAGACATGAATGATCCCTTTGTCCAGCATATCCTCGCTGTGTACGCTATCTGCCCTTTAGTCACTTGGTAGCCACGTTGAGGTATTGAAGTGCTTGTGTTCAAGTAACCCTCATTTTACTTAATAATGCCCCCAAAGTGCAAGAGTAGTGACACTGGCAATTTGGATATGCCAAAGAGAAGCCATAAAGTTCTTCAAGTGAAAAGGTGAAAGTTCTCAACTTAATAAGAAAAAAATTGTATGCTGAGGTTGCTAAGATCTATGGTAAGAATGAACCTTCTATCTGTGAAATCGTGAAAAAGGAAAAAGAAATTTGTGCTAAGTCTGTTGTCACAGCTCAAACTGAAAAAGTTGTGGCCACAGCGCATGATAAGTGCTTAGTTAAGATGGAAAAGGAATTAAATTTGTACGATAAGCTATTTTGAGAGATAGAGACCACATTCACATAACTTGTATTACAGTGTAGTTATAATTGTTCTATTTTACTATTACTATTGTTAATCTCTTACTGTGCCTAATTTATGAATTACACTTTATCGTAGGTATGTATGTGTAGGAAAAAACATTGTATATATAGGGTTCAGTACTATCCACGGTTCCAGGCATCCACTGGGGGTCTTGGAACATATCCCTCACAGAGAAGAAGCAGGGACTATTATACCTAGATTACTGTTTGATTGAATAACCAGTGCACAGGAATTCTGGGGGGAGGGGGACATGTTTAAAAATTTGCCTACCACTCTTCCACATTCCAAACTGGATGTAATGTTATACTTTTAAAATCTAAAAATAATCCCTTCCTTACCAAGCTGTGGATGCCTTTATCATTTTATCTTCACTCGTTTCCATCTCTCCCTACTCAGGGGAGGGGTTGTTTTCAAAGGAGCATTTTCCTAAGCCCTGCATTTTATCTGAAGCCTAAAATGTTTTCCTATTATGATTTAAATTTTTGAAATCAGTTCTTTCCTTTTTTCCCCTAGGATTGCCTTTTTAAAGGTTATACTTTCAAACTACTGACTTTTTAATAGTCCTCTATAAAAATCTGATCCCATTTCTACTTTTGATGGAAGAAAGCTCTGACTCCACGTTTCAGGTCTGAGTTTCTATTTCCATTAGGAAGCCTTTCTTGAGCCCCCTGCTAAGTTAGATAATTCTGCCAGGTGTTTTACACAGAAGCTGACATACAGTAGAGATTAAATATGTATTTGTTTCTGAATGAAATATCATTTCCTTAGAGGTAAATGAGTGAATGGCATTTCTATTTGTTCATTTCTAGGTTTTCAGCTTATTTAAATTAATAATTTTCTGAAAAGCAGCAAAAATATTGATGCTCAAAAATACCACATAAGGTTAGGAGACTGTGGCATGGACACTGGGAATCAAATTCAAGATTCTATTCTTACTAGCTCTGGGTTCAGTAGGCAAGTAACAACCTCTCTGAGCTAGTTCCCTCCATTTTTGAACTAGGAACAGTAGTATATTGCAAGCATATCTTGTAGGGTTCTTGTTAAGGGTTAAAGGACATATTTAGATTGAGCTCAGGAGAGTGACCACGGCTCAATAAACAGTAGCCATTTAAAATCAGTTAATTGGATTTTATCAAAAGAGAAATAGGAAGAAACGAACAGCTTCTGCTGTAATTTCTCAAGGAAAGCTTCTTTAAAACACAAATGCCTT